ACATGATGTCAGCAGAGAAAAAGTGAAAAATAATATCCTACTTCTGTGCCTTAACAAACAATAAGCAGTTTCAGTATGTTCATTTCAAAAACAAAAAAGTTCCAATATTGATTTTTTTTTTTTTTTTTTGGTTTTTTTAGAGTACAATCAAATGGCATAGGTGAAAAAATCTGTACATAAAATCATAACCTGAAAATTGGTACCAAAACAGCCATGGCATATTGATATTTTGTGTAAAATCATCTTGCAAGTTAAAAAGACAGGTGGATAGATATAAAGCATGTGATAGGATGCAAGAATAAAATTTTATGGTTAGTTGGTACTGATGAGGCTAAGCTCTAGTAAGGTATACAGGGATAACACAAAATTAGGAGAACATATCTAAGGACATGTTATGCTGATTGAAACATGAGTAACTACCACATAAATGAAATATACTCCATATATCAATAATTTTCATAGCATAAAAATAGATATTTTCAAACCTCATGTAATGCAGGTGCATCATTAGTGCCATCTCCAGTTACAGCAACAACATCTCCCCTCTTTCTCAATGCTTGCACAAGTAAAAGTTTATCATTAGGAGATGATCGCCCCATCACCTATAAATAATAAAACCAAGTAAACTTCACTACAATAATTGCCATTCTGATTTCAGGTCTTGGAAATGAAGATGAGAAAGAATAGAGAACCAGAACATACAGATATTTTCTCAGCAACTTCTTCCCTCTGGACATCTGTTAGGCCACGGAATTCTTTCCCTTCCATTATTAGATTAGGCTCAGACAAATCTGCATCTAAATCTAGAATTCCACATTCTACAGCGATTGTTTTTGCAGTAATGAGATTGTCACCGGTCACCATACGTACCTATTCATCATTAAATAGACAAATAGGTTACAACTTGACTTTGGCTCATAAGACAAGTGGAGTGCCAAATGGACAATGCAACTGTCAACAGCTTGGAATAGATGATGTTACAGTTGGACAAAAGTGAAAAGAACATAACAGTGACAAAACAACCAAATTAAAAACAGGGAAAAATGTTTTGCAGGCCATCTTCACAAAATTTTTTGGAAGACTTGTCTAAAAATTCCCCTTTTAATTAATATTTTTAAAAACCAACTGTTGGATTGAAATTTCTATTCATATAGATGATGCATGTTAATTTTCACATTGATCTAAGAGGCCTAACCAATTTGTTGATTACACAAAACTTAACATTGTCACTAAATAGAGTTTCTTTAATCAAAGAGTTATAAATGTTAGATCAATATGAAAATAGACCAGTGTGATCTACATGAATAGAATTTTCAATCCAATAGTTGGTTTTTGAAAATATTAATTTGAAGGTGCGTTTTTAGACAGGTCCTCCAATAAACTTGAGATATAGCTACAACATTCATGATCAAACATAAAATAAAAATAAAAATTAAAAAAACTAGAAATAACACTCTTGCAAAGTTCAAAAGAATAAGAGCAAATCTGTATGATAATTTACCGAGAGAACTATATGGTTGAATGCAAAAATAGTTTAGACACTACGCCCAGCTACACAAGATCACAAAATCATACCTTAACACCAGCATTTTGGCAAATTTGCACTGAAACTTCAACACCTGGTCGACAAGGATCCTGGATAATTTTTAAGGAGAAGGACAAGTAATGGTACCAATTAGTGTTGAATTATGTTTCCCTTGTGAGTGTGAAGAACTAAGATCCCACATCGAAGAAATAGAGAAAGAAAGAGTGGTTTATATATGTGAAGACTCATGGAACTAATAGACTAGTCTTTTGGTTCCAATATGGTGTCGAAATATCTAATGGACCACTGAATGTGGCCCCGCTAAGCCGTATGTCTCCCCAACAAATGGTATCTGATGATTATACCCATGTCAAAAAAAATGAAGTACTTCATTTTCCCTTGTGAGGGTGAAGAACTAAGATCCCACGTCGAAAAAATAGAGAAAGAAAGAGTGGTTTATATATGTGAAGACTTTTTTGAACAAATTCGCAAGGGGCCAAATTCAAACCGTTGCCCTGGGGAGGGAGAATGTACTTATATGTAACCTGACACCACTGAGCCAAAGGCCCAAGTGCATATATGTGAAGACTTATGGAACTAATAGACTAGTCTTTTGGTTCAATATGGTATCGAAACTTCTAATGGACCACTCAATGTTGCCCCGCTAAGCCGTATGTCTCCCCCAACCTAATGGCGTAACACAGCCAGTGGTAATTTCGATCTTGGGCCAGGTTTAGCAAAGTGAGAGTGAATGTTATGTAAACCCATGATGAGTATACCCATGGATTATGTCATGTATGTATGTCAAAAAAATAAAAAAAAAGAGGATGAACTCTCACGGGGCTTCACAACTCACAAGTGAAAGGGGACTATTGAAGTATGTTTCCCTTGTGAGTATGAAGAACTAAGATGCCACATCGAAGACATAGAGAAAGAAAGAGTGGTTTATATATGTGAAGACTCATGGAATTAATAGATTAGTTTTTTGGTTCCAATATGGTGTCGAAACATCTAATGGACCACTCAATGTCGCCCCGCTAAGCCGTATGTCTCCTCCAACAATTAGAAGGGTGACAGCTAATACAGAAATTCACTTGCAATGACACTAAATTGTACTTTGAAAAAAAAAAAAAAGGTATTTTCACATCAAAATGAACACACAAGCAAAATTGAATAATGGCAGAATGGCATTTAGGACTGAAAAGATATCCACTAGTACCAAATCATATAATACCCCTATTCCTCTCAGTGTACAATGCAGAAAAGTACCAAATCATATAACCACTAGCACAAGTGGAAAATTCCATAGGGCTGT